GCCATTTGGGGGAACCCTATTCCTGGAATGAAAGCTGGGCCCTGTAACTACAGTAGGAATTTGGCATTGTTGTCTGCCCAGCGTTCATTTACTGTTGTTCTGGAAGCAGGACCTTGCCTTTCTTTCTTTGGGGAAACCCTTTTCAGCCCATGTGGTTTGAAGTGGAGCTTCCCTATGCACCCTCTTAGGATAAGTGCATGCCTCATGTTTTCCTACACAGTGTATTACATGATCCTTGAATGTATTGGTTCAGGGGAGAACAATGACCAAGGCAGGTGTATTCAATTATGTGAAAATCTATTCTGGAATTGTTAGGAGAACCTAAGAAAAGAAGGCAAGCATGAGGCTGCAGACAGCCATCCTACCACCAGGAGAGGAGAGCCCGCTGGAAGATAGAGTGAACACAGATGAGTCACACATGATACCACTGTGTGAGCACCTGAGGCTGGTCACAGCTTCGGTTACAGTCCATCCCTGGCCTTCTCAGGTGTACAAGTCAATGTGCTGAAGTTAGTGTTGAGGCGGATTTCTGTAACTTACACCAAAAGAGTCCATTCTGGTTGAAAGGTTTTATGGCTCCTTATAATTCTAGGATCCTAGGTTTTTATGAATGATTCTGCTACTTTTGTATTTTGATGTTTTTGTTTCTAATAGATCAACTTCAATCTCATCTGCTTCAAGTGCCTTCTGTCTAGAAACTAGAAGTAAACAAAATGATGAACATTATTCTTTTAGAAGGCTTAATTGGTCAATTAATCCAAATAATTTTGCTACTTTGACGGTGACTTGAGGCCTTTCCTGAAGGCTAAAGGACTTGCACTAACAGTTCACCCTTGTTTTAAATATCTGATATTGCCTACATTCTGATAGCTGGAAACATGTACAAGAGAAAAAGACATGTTTTAGGCACACAATTACAAAGCTAACTCTTTCATTTGGATGCTTCATATAGAGGAGGCCAGTGTGAATATGGTTTAAATTTCCAAAGCCATGAAAAACCAAAATAAGTACGTACAAACGTATTTTTAAATAGTTTACATGTCAACATTAAACCAGTATGTCTGAATCTATACCCAGTGAGATAACTACAATATCACTATATGATTAAATAAGTTAAAAACTTAAAATTTTAAACTATTGTTTCATATACTTTTAGTGTGAACTTGTTTGTAGGTGGCTGCTTAGCTCAAAAAAGAAATTAAATATCACGTACTAAATAGTGTTTGACTAAGTAAAAACATAGACTCAAGGGGTAGCATTACTAAAAAGGGTGCTTGATCATTAAGTTTTGTTTCACCAAAACACTGTTTATACCAGTATTTTGTACTTAAGATATTAATAACTTTTTACTCAAAGGTTAAAGGTTTGCCCTTTGATTCTTTTTAAAAAAATTTTTTAAATGTTTTTATTTATTTTTGAGACAGAGAGAGAGAGAGCATGAGCAGGGGAGGGGCAGAGAGAGAGGGAGACACAGAATCCGAAGCAGGCTCCAGGCTCTGAGCTGTCAGCACAGAGCCCAACGCGGGCTCGAACTCACGGACTATACTGTGAGATCATGATCTGAGCCAAAGTCGGACGCTTAACCGACTGAGCCACCCAGGTGCCCCTGCCCTTTGATTCTTAAGATTCTAGATCTCAAAAGAGAATTAGGGCTAATAAGTCACTAGGCACAAAGAAGTTTGCCTTCTGTGTTGGTCTAACAATGTCAACTCTTTCCTAACATAAGAATTCTTGAATTTTTCACTCATGAATTGTTTTGCTCCCTTATCTATTTAATTCTTTCTCCTTTATCAGAAAAAAGGAGAAAAATGGCAAAATTTCATCTCTGCCAGTGAGAACATATTAAGATCTTTCCTATTTTTCACCTTTTTCAGTAATTATAAGATGTACAGCTGAGTTTATATCTTTCTCAGAAGTTAAAAATCCAGTGACTCATGAAGTAAACTTGGACTATGGATGTATGGCCCATTTGGTACTAGCATTAAAATTTTTAAAAATTAGTTGCTGACATTTAAAAATATAAAAAGAGTTCAAATAAAAGTCCAGACTTCTAGTTCTCTTGAAGAATGAGAAGATAGGGAGGCACCTGGCCTGCATCTCCAATTGGCAGCAATAATGCTAGAATTGAGCGGCAGGCACCTCCCTTGGATAGGGCACACCATCATTCCCCTTTACATTACACCTGGCCAGCTCTGGGATTCATTTACATTACCAAAATCAGCCTCTCTGCTTAAGAAAATCTGAGTGAGGTAGAAGGAAGGAACAGAGCTGTGAGAACACAGCACCCATGGGGAGAAGGAAGGGCTAATACTGATAGCTTGGGTCATGCCTGGTGACTCTGGAGGTGGAGGGGATAAACAACAAGACTGGATAATGATGGGGAGTTTCCTCAGTTTAAATACATCATCTTTAGTGCCATAAAAATGTTGAAGCAATATGCAAGTCCTATTAATCAAATCGGTAGTAGAAAGAACTGGAGAAAGACAAGCTTTGTGGTAACTCAAGTGGTAGAAACAATCAATTAAATTTACTTATCAAATAGAGTTCTTGACACTGATACACCATTTCCCCAAAAGTAACTGAATCAGTATGCAACAATGGTTAAGCTACAGCAATGCTAAGCTGACATTAATACTGTTCAAAATAATAGGTTTTTTTCTTTTATCTTCTAGAGACATACGAAGATTGTATTTCCTTGCTGGAGTGAACTTCTTTTTTTTTTTGAAATTTCTTTTTATTTATGTTTTTATGTTTTTATTTTTTTGTTTTTATGATCATTTATTATTTTTTTAATATGAAATTTATTGTCAAATTGGTTTCCATACAACACCCAGTGCTCATCCCAACAGGTGCCCTCTTCAATGCCCATCACCCTCTTTCCCCTCCCTACCACCCCCCATCAACCTTCAGTTTATTCTCAGTGTTTAAGAGTCTGTTATGATTTGCCTCCTTCCCTCCCTGTAACTTTTTCCCCCTCCCCCTCCCCCATGGTCTTGTGTTAAGTTTCTCAGGATCCACATAAGAGTGAAAACATATGGTATCTGTCTTTCTCTGCATGACTTACTTCACTTAACATAACACTCTCCAGTTCCATCCATGTTGCTCAAAAGGGCATATTTCATTCTTTCTCATTGCCAAATAGTATTCCATTGCATATATAAACCATAACTTCTCCTGAAGGGCAGTATGATTTGTTTTGGCCAACAGAACATGAGTGAAAATGAATTGTTTCATTTCTGGGCAAAAGCTTTAAGATCCTATGCATGTTTGGCCCCCCTCTTTGTCTTCTGCAATACTAACGTTCAGGAGGGTGCTACTCCATAAGCCCTGGTTTTAGAGGACAGCACAGCTACCTGCAGACCTCTGATGAGCATGCAATGTGAATGAGAAGTTGACTTGTTGTTTTAAGCCACTGAAAGATGTGTGTTACAGTAATGTTACTCTAACTTCATTCATTCATGGATTTTGACATGTCTGTCCATTATCTGTATTATTTTAAGGTACTTGTTCTTTAAATCATTGTTAAATTAAAACTTACAAAAGTACCCTTAGGGGCAACTTGGGTAACTCTGTCAGTTAAGCATCTGACTTCAGCTCAGGTCATGATAGGAGTTTGTGAGTCCAGGCCCCGCATCAGGCTCTTTGTTGACTGCTCAGAGCCTGGAGGTTGCTTTGGATTCTATGTCTCCCTCTCTCTCTCTAGCCCTCCCCCGCTCACACTCTGACTCTCTCTCTTTCTCAAAAATAAATAAACATTAAAAAAGTACCCTTAGTGTAGGCAATACATATGGTACATGCTAGTTATACTTCAATTATGTTATAATAAACAAAGTAAATGTATAACTATTAAAGGTAATCTACAGACCTAATTCTGAGAAACAACGTGGTGAAACAGAAAATAAACCTGAAGACTAAAAAATAAGAAACTGTGTTTTCAAGTTCCAAGTATGGCTCCAAATTTGAACACCATGCCAATATTCAGTAAACTATACTGCTTTGTTAATATAACAGGAATCAGGAAAGGATATATATTATGAATTTAATATGTGTGTGAATGCACCATCTATAAACCATATCAAGTTTGTTTACAAAAATCATTAATAAAGGCAACATCATCAGTGCGATTATCTAATTTGCATATGCAAATCTAAAGGTGTACAGGTGTAAAGGGTAGATACAGATACATTTTACAGGCTTCCACATTGCATCCTTGAGTACTTAACCTTTAGCATCCATTAAAATCATTATGTATACAGCTAGTAAATGCTGTGACACAGATTCATGCATAATTACAATTTTCCAACAGATTGATAGATTACAGAAAGGGGTGGGAGATATTTTACAGGGGTGACAGCCAAAAAAGGTCTTAGAGATACCTGCCATGTGGTGCAATCTGACCTAAAACCCCAAACAACCCATATATATTTACACTGTATAAATATCATGCATTCTAAATGTCATTCATGTACAAAAGGAAATACACAAGTAAAGAATTTATGTCAGAAAGAAAAAGAAACTGCCATTTCAAAAAGATGTCATTAAAGTAATCAAAACTAAGTTATGTGCAGAATGAGCTTTGGAATTAGCCGTATTTAGCCTTAAAAAATGGAGAAACAAATGGACATACTAGCCATTACCAAATATATGAAAGGTTGTCATAGCAAAAGTATTTAAGCAAAAAGAAGTAGGGTGGAGAAACGGGGGCTAATCAACAAATTTTAGGCTAAAATTAAGGAAGGTTTTTGTAGCTGCTCACCTTTGAGCAGCTCTGACAGTGTTCAACAGGGATCATGCAATCTCTGCAGGGAGGGTTTTTTAGAATCTTAATACCAAGGAAGATTATAATGACCAGCTAATTTACCACCCTCTTCCAAAGCTTCAGTTCTTTGATTAACATTTAGTTCATCAACAGTAGACAGTAAATTCCTCCCTCTAGAACTGTTAATAACAAATAAATTATTATAGGTTAATCAAATGTTAAAAATATCTGAAGACAGTACCTTTCATTTTCTCTTAATATGTCTCTTCCTTTCTTCCAGGTGTAAACAGGTTTAGGAGAAGCTTTTGGCTTACATTCGATGACAACTTCCCCTCCCACTTTGACAAGGGTTACTCTTTTTAAGAGGGTTCTTGAAAAATCTGGACCCGCAGCTGGAAGAGAATAGAGAAAATAAAATATTAATTATTATGGAAGAAAAAAATCCCACTAGATCATGCTTTATGCTTTTTCTTTCTGCAATGCATTTGTTGTTGCCTTTGACATCAAAGGGAAGAAGTTAAATTTTTTTCTGAAGTAAAGGAAGTAGCATTGTACATTTTGATGGATTAATTAAAAACTGAGGTATAATTTATATATGGTAAAATGCATCAGTTTTAAGTGTACAGCTTGATGAATTTGACATACTGCACAATGAAGATCAAGATATAGAACATTCCATCATGCTGTTGACGAACTCTTAAAAAAATTATCCCATGTTCAAATGAATAAAAATTTTTAAATTCCAGCGAAGCATAAGGGAAAGACAAAACCAGAAAATCCATAAGGCATTTTTTTGATTATGTAGGTTAAAGCATTCCGTCTTGGATAACAGTTTCTGCCTCTGCTCTGTCCCTTAGCACTCTGTGAATGTCTCCATGAGAGAACATGCTGAAATGTCTATATCGCCACTCTCTGTGAACTTCCTTCTCCTTAAAAACAAGGGCTTTGTCTGGCTTTCTACTACTATTCCCTAACGCAATGCTTGGCTCATGCAGGAGAAACTGGGGCTTGCTCTTAGAAAACTCAATTCCATGCTTACTATGAGTGTTCTCAAATTCATTTTAGAACTCAGGTGGTTCTATGAAATAATATTGAAGAATTATTTCTTTCCTAAAACAACAGATACATATATCTATCCTCTCAAAAGCAATTTAAAAGATGACTTTCTGAAAAAAAATCTCCATTTTCTTCTGAGTTAACTGAATTAATGTTATCTAGGATCTGTTTGGAGTGGGGATTCATCTCATGGAAGCTTAACTTTACTATAGTTAATATCCATGATTCCCTGCAGTTTGACCTAATGGAATTTAAGATTTCAGATTGTGTTAAATGTGAAATGTAAATACTAAAGACAAATTAGTTAAAGAAGGACAGAGAGTGAGTGTGTATGTATGTGGGTGGGGCGAATGGGGGTCAATTTCTTTATCTTTCTTTTTTTTCTTTTCTTTTTGAAAGAAAGAGAGAGGCAGAGGGAGAGGGAGAGAGAGAATCCTAAGCAGGGCCCATACCCAGCGTGGAGTCCAAAGTGGGGCTGGATACCACGACTGTGAGATCACGACCTGAGCTGAAATCTAGAGTCAGATGCTTAACTGACCGAGCCACCCAGGCAGCCCTCAATTTCTTAATTGTACCCAAACCATGTACTAGTGATGTAAAAACAAACAAACAAACAAACAAACAAAACAAAACCTCAGTGAAACCAAGTTAAATTTTTATTAAGTGTTCTATTAAGTGTGTAAAGACTTTCTATAATTGTCTAGAAAGAAATAAAAGTGGGAAGGTTACTGTTTGGAAGGGGTGATGCAATATATGCATGGGGCTGGTTTTACTATGTGAAGGTGAAAGTAAATAATAGACGAATCTAGTAGGCAATTGATATCTCGATCTGTGTACCTTGGATTCATGAGGGGAGTCTATAATTTGAAGCATAATTCTATAATGACAAGTGTAATTAATAGTGTGCAAGTACAGATGTTTCTGCTGTAATGAGGTAAATGTATTCCTAGTATGATCTGCAAAGTCACATAATCAAAATTATAGTGTTATAAAAAAGATAGGGTCAGGACAGACCTACTCAATATTTATGTAACAAAAACATTAACTACCCCCCCCCCCAAGCCACTTGAGTAAATGTATTAGCATGATTAAAAAAGACAAGTGAAATTCCTAACAAATAAATACTACAAAAACAAACAAACAAACAAACAAAACAGAATGTGTGTGTATGTGTGAAGATAGTTTGATGAAAGACTAAAGGAAGAGTTGAGGCTGCTAAGCTCAAGCTAACAAGTAAAACTGGAAAGATTTTGAAACAAGTAAAACCTGCAGAAAGGCTCGTGAGAACCATGCTATAAGCACTGCTGTGTTACAATACACGGCCACACTGAGCCAAGAGGAATAATGTGGGTCAGGGGAATCGAGGGTAACATAGTTTTGCCTTGGCTAACTATCTGTGTTGGTCTGAGTTAGTGGGCTCTGTGGTCAATGGCTACCACTTGTGAAATCCATGAACACAGCCAGCATTTATGTTATACTGGCACATTTCCCCATTTACCAATCCCATACATGCCAATATGAACACAGAAAGGTTCTTGTAGCAGAACAGACTCATTCTCATCTTAGGTAAACACTGTGTTGACATATTAATGTAAAAAAAAAATCAAATTTCTAGAAGTTTTTGAAAAAGGGTATTTTGTGAAATAGAGTTACAAATTTGTATCATATCAAAATCCCTTCTTAAAACTGTGTCTTTCTACACACACATTTTTATCACTTTAGGCAGACATTTTTCATCTGTTCAGGAGGAATTCTGCAATTGCATTTGAAATGAGTTTACATAAATCAAACTGTGCACAACACATGGGTGTATTTGTCAAAAAACTATATATTGCTTTTACGAGACTTAAAATACCATGGTATCAGCCACACAGAAGACAGAAAACATGCCTTCCAGTTTCAGAAACATTTTTCCTGTACTGTTTATGTGCCTATTATCTTCTGGATATCCTAGAGATTAAGAGTGGCTTTGAATACCTTTCACTAATAAAAATGGAATTATAAATTCAAATCTTTTCCCTTTGTTTACTCAATTTGCTTAATTTACTTCTATTATTGTACCTGCAAATCTATCAGTTGCCACATTAAGCTGCAGTGCTCTCTAGGACAAAACTATCAAACCTTCATCAGTTTTTGAATACTTGACTCATTAATGGTTTGCTTAACATTCTGCCATTTTGTGACCATCTGTTGGACCTAAGATGCCCTTAAGTGTAAGGGATGATGCTTTTTTTCCTGTCTGTACCCTGTATTTAAGTGAAAGAAGCCTGTTAAATTTGACATTCACAGAGAAATTAGGTTTTAAAAGTTACTGGTAAGGTCCCCAGTTGAGCACTATTAGAACCCAACCTTTGCTGGCACTTAAAAATTTAGTACACATTGAAGGTGAAACTTCAGTAGGTTCTTAATAGCTCAGAAAAGGTAAAATCAATTGTCAAATTACCCACTTGAGTCCGAGAGTAGCTCTGATACTGGGAAATCCTCATTTGCTAACTTTAATGTACTTAGAGGATAATATTTCTTACATCAACTACTAGAGGGCACTGCTCTCTCAGTGTTGGAACGAGTCATGTTGTAGGACCTCTTCCATTTGGGAAATGCAACTTTTTATTATTTATCAATGGTCTTTAATCTATTAACATTACATGATCTATGAGAAGCATCCGGCTGAAAGAAGCTCTCTGCAATTCTCAACTGTTTGGTTTTAGTGAATTAAAGGACTCTTGGTCACATGTCAAGGGTATTTAAAGTAGCCAACAGAACCCTTGAAAACAGAAGATTTGTGTCTTCATAACATTTTTCAAGAGAGAGAACAAGAATAACTCCTTAGCTAGATGTGCAGTGGGAGTCACATTTGGGAAACATATTGAGTGTGATGTTTTACTCTATTATTGAAGAGGAAATGGTAATTCTGCATGTCAGTTCTATTGCAGTTATTCTGCAGAAACGTCACTTGGAACATTGCCAATTGATGGAGACTATTCAGTATGGCCCTTTTAGAAGTTCAGAATTCTAGATTATGTTAACCTTTATCTATTATCTTTAACTATTACCTCATCATTCCATAAAAATAAACCTAGAGTGCATGCATTCATTGAAATGTTTTCACCACTGGGGAGATAATACTGGTATCAGATTTTAAACCCCTAAGCTTTTTCTGGCTTGCTGGGTAGATACCTAGAAGGCCCGTTATAGTGGGAATCTTCTTTTTTCTAGGGCCATTATTTCAGACCAGCGGATTCAAAATCAGCCCTAATCAGGGATGATATTCACAAGGAGACTCAACAAAACTCTGAAGTAAGAGTTTTTATTTATTTCTATTCTAATATCAGCATAATGTTTCCTTTCTAAATCCCTAATGCCAATGCCCTGCTTGTTTTGGTCTAATTCATTGAATACCCTGCTTACCCAGGTCTCCTCCTACCATGGTGGCTCTTAGGTTTATGGGCTCCTGTTACTTTGGGAAGGTTATTTTAAAACAAAATAATAATATTTTTTGATACAAAGTTGTTTTGAAGAATAAATGAAATAATACATGAATTGTACATAAAGTACTTAGCCCAATATTTTCCTAGAGTAACAACTTCATACCTACTCCTCCTCTCTGCTATCTGCACGAGTACCACCACCCTTATCAGGGGACTTTATGCTGAAATACAAGGAGGCTTTTTAGAGCCAAATAAATACATCGTGGTTTGAACAAAATTTTATTTTGAAATAATTATTGATGTACAAAGATAAAGAGGCCCTGTGTACTTCACTTAATTTCTCCCAGGGATTACATCTTATGTAAGCATGATAAAATATCAAAATAAGCGAAGTGATCATTGGTACAATGTGTGTCTTTAGTTCTATGTTATTATATCACAAATGCAGACTTGAAAAACTACTCTGAAATCAAGATATGGAAGCATTCCATCATCTCAAAGATTTCTCTTGTGCAACCCCTTTATGGCCACATTCAGCTCTCTCCTGCCTAATCCTGCCTTACTAATGCCTAGAAACCACTAATCTGTTCTCCGTCTCTACAGTTTTGTCATTTGGGGAGAATATTTTATATACAGAATCATATAGCATGTGACCTTTTGAGATTTTTTTTACTTAGCCTAATGCTCTTGAGATCCACCCAAGTTGTGTGTATCAACAGTTAATTCTTTTTTATTGCTGAGTAGTGGTATCTCATCCATCCTGATCTAGAGGAGAAATACTTCTTTAATGTTGGCATTTCAGGCACTATGGTAACTGACAAACAGTTTTGAGCATAGGAACCATTTCAAGATCTCTCAACACTTTTTCTGCCAACAAGTATGATCAGGCTTAGCCTTTTTTCTTTTTA